TTAGAGAGATAGTTAAGGTACAACAAGATCATGAGGGCGGCTCCTAATCCGATGTGACTGGTGACCGTGTAAGAAGTGGAAATTCAGACACAGACACCCATAGAGGGAAACTCCACGTGAACATGAAGACAGCCATCTTCAAGCCAAGAAAAGAAGCTGCAGGAAAAATCAACCTTGCTGGCACTTTGAGCTCAGACGTCTAGCCTCTGGAACTGTGAGAAAATAAATTCCTGTCATTTAAGCCGCCCGCCCGTGGTGTTTGTCCTGACAGCCCCCGCCCACTAATAATGCCAGGGTAAAAGGAAGTGTGAGGAGAACGTGGGATCCCAGAGGACAAGAGAGGAGGATGCTTCCAGTGGAGGGCGGGGGGATTGTCCACATACTGAACAAGTGCTGGGGATGACAGAAGATGCACACACAGCGCGTCCCCTGGAAGGACCTGGAAAGAATAGTCTCAGTGGAGTGTGGTCAGGCAAAAGCCAGATCTCCATGGGCTGAGAAGTTAGTAGGACTCGGACTGGCTGCCAATGTACCGTAACTTGTAAAACAAAGAATTTCCAAGAAGTGAAAGTGGGCTGTGAGCTGGGCGTTGAGACATGACAATGGCTGCAACACCATGTGGGGCTAAGCGAAGGCATTAGAAGGAAGACTGGGGCATGTGGACAGTAACGGGGTGAGAGAAGAGGAACCTGGGGAGGGGGGAAAGAGAAGTGAGGTCCCCAGAGAGGAGAAGGGTGAGCCAGTAGGAGAGAAGGGTCTCGGGTAACAGGAAGGAGGTGGAGAGGATGGGCTGGGTGGTGGTGGTGAAGGCTGGGGGGTGAGAGGCTAGCTTGCCTGGCCCTTCCAGATCCACACTGCACCACTCTCCACCCACTCTCTGTCCTGGGAGGCTGACTCGTATGGACTTGCCATCTGGCTCCTCTGATTGGGAGTCCCCAGTGAAGGATTTGAGGAGAGCGACCCTGGGGGATTCATTCCCATGGCCTCTCCTGCCTCCTTCGGCCCCTGCTACTGAAGACCACAGCTCCTGTCTGGGGCCATCTCCCTCCATCTGTCCTCTCAGGTTCTGATAACTTCTCCTGCCTTTTCTGGTCCCAGGGCTGTGGGCCACTGTCGTTAGCCTTGGGGCACTACAACATCCATTGTTGGGTTCCCAACATTTGTGAATTGTTCCTTTATCCAACTCTCCTCAGACTGCACCGTTTGAAGAGACCACCTCTTTCTTCCTGGCCCCCAGTTGATATGAAGGTGTTCACTTCCAGAGCTTCTCATTTCCCTCTAGAGATGGAAATAAGGTCTCCTGTTGAGGGTAAGCAGGAAAAGAGGTTTGGGGAGAAGGGTGACTGTTTGAGACATCCCCTGTGGAGAAGAGGAGTGGGTTTATTAACAGGGGTGAGGTCTAAACGGAGGCTGGGACCTTGGACTTCAAGGGGTGCCATCCAGCACTCTTGCCTGATGTCCTCACAGACTCAGCTGCAAGGGCAGACGGGGAAACAGGTTCAAGAAAGTTTGTGATTTTTGCCAAGCAGGTGCAACCAAGGAACCATGGGACCAAGGGATGTGGGAGAGAGAGCAGATGGGTGCACGGCCAGGAGCAGCCTGTGAGGAGGTCAAAGTGTCAATGTAGAAGAAAACTGAGAGAGTGAGCAGGAAGAACATGGGGTCTGGTAGGAAAAGAACATCCGAATGTGCGATTTGAGAGAAGGCGTGATTCCGGGGTCTCTCGTAAGTCCTGGGAGCGAGAGTGGTAATGAGGGGAGTAGGGATGGAGGTCCTGGGGCGCTGGGTGGGTCATTCATGGAGTGAATGTCTCCCCAGGTCTTGGGGAGACAGGAAGACCATAAGCCGGTGGCCACAGCCTGACAAATGAGGGGGTACGACTGGGACAGGTGGCACACCCCGCCCACGTGCACCGCCGCACGCCCACACACACCCACACAGTCACACTCGCGCACACACGCCCACAGCCCTCCCAGACACTCCCAGACACCCTCACATGCACTCACCCTCACACACACCCCAGACAGCAGATGGGGCGCTCGGGTAATTGGTTAAACCTGTTCCCGATGTCTGGCTCCGCATTGGCAGCGCCTGTCTGACAGGAAAGCTGGCTGGGCCTGCACCACTCAGCCTGCTGGCCTCCCTGCCCCTCCCCCTGCAGGGCTGCCCGGGAGCAGGGGCTCCCGCAGAGGCCTGGGCCCCCACCCCCTGCCTGGCTCCCTCCTGGGCAGAACCCAGCTCACTGGGCCCGGGGTTCTGGGAAGCCCCACAGGAGGCAATCACGGTGCCCCCGAGGAGGAGCTGGTGAAAACCGAGTGCAGAGACACCAAGAGCACAAGCCCTGCGGCTACAGAGCTGTGGGGGCTAATCTCGGAAAGTTCCATGGACGCCAAGAGCATAAAGATCGTTCCCTAAAGCAGAGGCATATGGCTCGGGCCATGAGAATTAAGAACGGCTACCCCACGTTCCCTCCACTTAAGCCCCACGCAGCGTGGGGTTGCCTCTTGTCAGTGTCTCAGCCATCTGACCCTGCAGGGCCTGGGAGGCCAGCCCAGCTGAGGGGACAGGACAATGCCAGGCTCCTTCGGGGAAAGCCAGGCCAAGTAGCCCCTCTCCACCTGTCCACCCGCAGGGCCCCGATCTCCAAGAGCAAGGAGCAGTCGAGGGAGGGATGGGAGCGTCATTCCTCGGCTTCTTCTCCCCTTCCCGGCTGCATCTGTGTCTCTTAGAGAGAAACTTTGGTTTGTTCCCTGGAGAGGGCCCAAAAACTCCCAAATTAGCAAACCTGGCAAGCCGGCAGCTCAGAAAATAGTTCATCCTGATTCCATGTTTTTCAGGCTCACAGAAGCCTTTATTAATGAAGTCACAACACCAATATTTACCGTCTGCAGGGAGAGGCACAACACGGGGGATGGATGGGAGTGCGGTGGGGACTCCCGCCCCGCCCCTTGCGGGCCTGGCCTAGGAAGATTGGCAGGTTTCCTTGGGTCCTTTCCAGCCCTTTATCTGGATGACAGGGGCGGCTCTGCTGTGATCCTCACGCACCCCCTCCCCCACCAAGTGAGAGAATCTGGAGAGGAACAGTTCTCCCATTCCTCTGCCCCCACCGGTGCCAAAAGGACGCCTCCCCTTCTCCACCTCACCCCACTGGAGTGTACATGCTCCCCAGAGGTTATCCGCCTGCTTGGCAGCGAGAGAACGCACCTTGAGGTTAGGACGTTTGAGATGTAAGGAGTGTGTTTCCTGGTGGAGGGAGTGGGAAGGGGCATTGGGATGGGAGAAAGCCCTTTGGTTTCTAGCACTGACCGGACCCAAGCGAGATGCTGACAGTCCGGGCAAAAGAACCTTCTGTGCTTGGATCCCTGCATGTGCCCCAGACAGCAGGTCTTCAACATGGACGTCAACCTTGATCAAGCCCCCAGAACATTCCAGGAGCCCAGAGAAACACAAGTAAAGGCACAGCACAGGCGAAACCCATGGCTTACTGGGGGACAGGGATGACAGGGGCAAGACTGAAGTAGAGGGCACCAGGAGTGAGGTAGGAGAGGCCAAGTCTGGGAAAGAAGTAGGGGTAGAGTGAGGGGCTTAGGATGGGTGTGACACAGTCCTGTGCACTAGCCACAGTGTGGAGGGACCTCCTCTTTGACATCCACACAAACCTCATTATGCCTACCACTCTTTCCCTTCCCTCCCCTCCCCACGCCCTGGGAGCCATGGGCACTGCTTCCCAAGGTAGAAGAAACCTTGGCTGTTTGCCAAGGTGGGCAGTCCTGAAGGAGAACTGGTGGGGAGATGAGTCAGTGGTGAATGTGTTGGATTCGAGGTGCCAGGGGGCCTGGAGGCAGCAGATGTGGGCAGCAGGCTTGGTGGGTCTGCAGCTCGGCAGGGGTCAGATGGAGGGAGTCCGGGGAGCCAGGAGAAGTTCCGGACACAGACGTGAAGCCCCAGGGGCAGGGCACAGTGAAGAGGCAGGAGGCACAGGGACTGGCCCTGATGAGGAACAGGGCCGACGAGGCAAGGACAAGACAGGAGGACAGAGGGGCAGATGACAGTGTCAGAGGCACTGAAATGAAGGCAGGGGTGTGGGAGTCAAGGAGGGAACGGCCAGAAGAGAACGGTGTAAGTAAAGCCGAACAGGTGGCAGCTGAGTTTGGCCCCAGGGGTGCTGGTAATCGGTGATTGATGATGTCATCAGCACAGGCAGAGGGTTGGGGAGCACACGGGAGGTGAAGAAGTGGAGACAGGTCTGGATGTAGTAAGGGAAAGGTTGTTAGGAATACAGGTCTTGCGTTTTAAAGATGAAGGAATTGTGAGAGGAGGAAAGGCTAGCGGACGACCAGAAGGGCAGGTGGATTAAAGAGCTCAGTCGGGCCCTGCCCTATTGCTCTTTCCCGGCTAGAGGCCCTGCGTCCTTGGGGACAGGTGGTGGGCTCAGCCTTATGCCCCATCTTGAAAGCTTTCCTCTGCACGGTGTGTGTGTGTGGGGTGGGGTGGGGGGTGCTCTGGGGATGGATGAGTGTCCCAGCGGGGCCAGAACCTGGGCGTGGGATGGTCAGCTTCTGTGAATGGTGCTCTGCCCCCCAGCCCCCAGTACTCCCTTTCACTCCCAGTGTCTCCTCACTTGAAGGAGCCCCCAGCATCTCTCAATGGGTGCATCTCTCATCACGCAGAAGTGGGCATATTCTGTCTCTCCCCTAAGCCACATGCGCCTGCTTCCCACTGCTCCATAACCTTGGAAAGGCCTGAGTGTAGTTAGCCTCCCTTAAGACACAGGTTGGTCTTTCCCCACGTCTAGCCTCAGTTTCCCTTTCTCTAGAGCTGGAGCTCAAGATCAGGGTGGACCACCGTCAGAGGAGTAAAGGTAATGGGTTGAGTCTCCCGGGCCCCGCCCCAGGCTCCCAGGTGCTGTACAAGCTTGCTCTGCCTGTCCCCACTGGTCCCCAGAGCCCGAATCCACCCCCCAGGCTCACAGGCTCCGGGGGGTGGAGCTGGATGCCATGTCATTAAGAGAGAGACTTTTATTATTCCCATAGGGAAGGGAGATACAAGGGAATCACTAAGAACTACAGTGGGTGCCTGGAAAATAAATTAAAACAGAAACGCATCAAAACAAACAGGAGATCAGAGAAGTGGAGAGTGGCTGGGAGGCTGCTGTGGCCGGCGGCCTGCCCAGGCAGGCGGGCTCTCTGAGGAGAAGGTGGAGGAGTCCCAGGCCTCAGCCAGCCCATTTCTTGTCCCTCCGTCAGCAGTGGCCCCAGGCTCCAAGCCCTGTGCGGCCGTGGCTCGAGGCCTCCCCGAAGCCTGGCGGGAGAGCGGCCAGAGTCCAGCTGGGCCCACCCGGGGGCCCTGGCCAGCAGCGAGCAGGTGCTCTGCTCTCGTGGATCCAAGGCTGCCCACCCTAGTCATTGGAGGTGACGTCGATGTCCTCCCCGTTGGCCTGCTTCGTGGCGATACGCCACCGGTTGATGTGGTGGGAGCCCTTCTTCTTCTGCTCAGACTCAGGCCCCTCTTCCTCCAGCTTCTGCCGCTTGTACTTTGTCCTCCGGTTCTGGAACCACACCTTCACCTGGGCCAGGGAGGGAGGGGCAGAAGTAAGAAACACCCAGGAGGCCCCCCAGAGCAGCTCCTGGGGTCTCAGTGCCCAGGCTGAGCTGGGAGCCATGTGGGGAAACCAAGGCCAGGTGCCACCTGCTGGATCTGAAAGACTACACTTCCAGGTGTGAATGAGGTGGGGCGGGGGGAGAGGACACAGGGGGCCAAGATGGGGCCATCTTCCAATCCCTCTCACAGAGGGCAAGGAGCAATCAGCACGGCAGAGGGGAGGAAGCCAGGCTCTGGAGCCCGGCAGGCCTGGGTCCCTACCCGTTTCTAGGAAGAGATAATAATCACTCCTTCACGAGGTGGAGGTAAAGAGTGAGTAGGCGGACGTATAAAAAGCCATTGCATGAGTCCTGATGAGCGCCTGTGGCCCTGATGTACCCCCACCCCCAGCCACCCCATGCTCTTTGTAGCATAATGAGGCAGAGTGGACATGGCTAATAACCAGGAGGTGATGTCCACTCCAAGAGCGGTGCCTAGGACAGCCAGAGCACTCCTAGGGTCACATACCCCGCCACTCAAGGTTCCAACTAACACACTGTCTAGGTCAATCAGCTTCTCCAGAGGACCCTGTGAAAAACGTCAGGCGGAATTCCCCCCACCCCACATCAGACATTGAGCTGGGCAGGTGGATGGCTGCTCCCTCGGTGGGCAGCTACTCACGGTGGTCTGAAACCCACTAATGAGGCCTCCTCCTTAGACACAGGGGTGTCTGCAGCCCAATCGGGGCCAGTGCTCTAAACTTCTTGCCCCTGAAGCACTGGCCTCTACAGCCCATCCAAATATGGGAACAGGTTACACAGGAGAAACCAAAGGGTACAGAAGTGAGCTCCTCTTAAACAGAGAGGGCCCCCTGCTTCTGTGTCAGACAGTGAGAGTCCTGACAAGGGGAGGGTTCAAAAGCCAATAACTGTCCTCTGTGATCGGTGGGGGGCGGAGGGCTTGGAGGGGCAGGTAAACAATGCTAAGCTTTAGCCGTATCTCTCCTCACCCCTCACTTCTCCCACCTCCCCCAGCATTTGCTCAGTGTCCAAGATACAGCCTTTAACATCCTCTTATGCATGATCAAGGAGGGCTCCCTAACTAGACCTAGTGCTCGAGACGGTGGAGGAAGCCTCACTCAGTCTGTCCGCTCCTGCTGGCCTTGCAGAGCCAGGCCATCGCCCGCCCGCCTCCATCCTTAGAGTTGGCGAAAGTGGGCCTGAGCGCAGATCCTTTGCTAAGTTCCTTCCCTGTTCTGGGCTTACGCCCCTCATCTGTAGGAGAGATGTTTTTCCGGCGGCTTTGCAGCTCCAGGGCACCTCCTGGGCTTTTGCACCCGAGGGTCCCTGGGGGAGGTGACACAGAGATGGCAGAGACATGGATGGTTTCCTGAAATCGAGAGCTCATTTACAAAGCCAGCAGGTGCTGTTAGCTGCCGCTGGGTGACCCCTGGTGTCCCTGCCGGCAGTGAGTGGGAGGTCGTGTATGTGGAATGATGGTGAGCATACTTGGTTTTGGCAGCAGCAGTGAATGCTGAGGGAAGATCCTGGAACCCTGGGTGGGGACAGGGGCCATCCTCAGAAGACGACCCACTCCAAGAATGGTGGAAAAGCACAGGCTGTAGCTATAAAACAAGGCAGTGTTGGGCCAAAAGCAGGCCTCATGTGTCAGGGCACAGGGAGCAGTTTTCCTGCCCAAGACGCTCTGCCTTCATGCTTCCCAGGCACGGCCCCCTGTCCGCTTCATGGAGCCCACCCAGTCCCAGGCTTCCCCTAACAGCTCCCTCTCCCCAGGGAGACCCTGCCCTTTAATTTTAGAGCACTGGGCGGGAGAGGGGGGGCATGGAGCTAGGGATAGGAAGAAATGAGGCCCCTGGCCTCAGTGGATACAGTAAGGGAGGGAGGAGCTTCTTCCCTCGTCTCTAAGGCAGGGGGCAAACTCACCGCCTGCCTGTCTCACCTCAGACAGACAAAGGAAAATGGTAGATGCTCTGGGGGCAAGACTTCTAGATCCCATAACCACCTTTCTGGGGTAAAGGGCAGGCTGGGCTCTGGGTGGTTCTCAGCACAGCTGCATCTGGCCCCTGACTGTCCTCGCCCCCCATCTGAGAGCCCACTGACACTACGCCAGCCAGTAGGTGGGTGAGTGCCTGGGAGGCCTGGATGCGGGCCGGAATGGCATTATCGAGGGCCCTCGAGGCTGGCCAAGGGCTAAGGGAGCCCAGCCAAGGGATGGGGCAATTGGGGAAGCTCTGGGCTACACCAGGACAGCTGGCCCCTTTCTGCATCTTCTCCCTCCCACACACACTCCAAGGCTCCTTTCGGGAAGGAGACTTGTCTGGAGTGGGGTGGACCCAGCCTGCTACCCTCACCCCACAACACCGGCCTGAAGGAAGAAAGTCCTCAATGGTGGAGCTCCAGGCACACGGTACATTTTCTGGCAAGAGCCACCTTTCCTGGGCACCCAAATGAAAGGGCATCCTGAATATTTTCTCCATGAAAACGACCAGGGTCAAGGAGGCAGCTTTCTAGAAACAGGGAGGTAAACTGTCTCCTAAGGCAGACTGGCTATCTTGTGAACAGCCTTAGGCTGAGTGACCAGATGCTGTTTACAAAGACTGTAATAACAGGGGGCTGCTTATGACTTAATAATGTCAGTGAAAAGGGCAGGATACGGTTTGGGCACAGTGTGATCACAACCATGGGAAAACAAAATCTATGCATGGGGAAAAAAGACTAGAAGGAAATGTACTTAAAGTGTGGGTGACATTTCTTTCTTCTTTCCACTTTTTGTCTTTTCCTTGATGCATTAATAACAATTAAGAGTTATTTTTTCTTAGAAAAAAGAGAAAGAACTGGGCTCTGAGTGTAGTAGGAGGCCAGAGTGACATTACCCTGGAATCTAGCGGGGCGATCTGGGGTCACCCCAGAGCCTTTTCCCTGGAGGACAGAGGCCCTAGAAAGGAACCAGGTCATGCAATGTGTGTCCCGCTCTGAGTGCTAGCTTTACGAAGCTGTATTTATTCTGTACCCGCTTCCCCACCATACCCGCACACTGGCCCCGGGCACCATCGGGATGTTGGCTGAAGAAACCCCTCTCCAACTGGTGACTCTTATGGGTGTGGAGAGAGGTTCCTTGTGGCCTCCCAAGTCCCCATCTCACCGACTGTCTCAGTGTTTCAGAGAAGCCAGAGCCTTCCAAGCTTCTCCACGTTTACCTGAGTTTCCCTGCCTGGAGTACTCTTCAAAAAGCCTTCAAAAGCCTGCTCAGATGTTCCTGGGCTGGACCTGCCCTGCTGCCTGTCTATGCTTCCCGAGTAACTTTCCCTGTGTCAGCAACAGGGACCCCAGCAGTGCGTTCATTTACTTCTAAAACCTCTGTCTCCTTATCAGGCGGTGAGAACCTGGAGAACCAAAGCAGCGTAGTAGTGTGGGCTGGCGTCCCCGTGGGCACGTGCCGGTCTGTTCAGCAAGCTGGCCACAGGTGAAGTACCTGGCCCTGTGCTCTGGGCAAGAGGTGCCTCGGCCAGACATGGAGAGCCCGAGAAAATCAGTGGTGGAGGGATTGAGGTCTAATCAGAAAAGCAGTTTGGGAAGTGCGATGGCTGGAGAGATGGGATTCTTTTTAGGCACAGTTCAGTGGACACTTCTACAACAGGGTCAGTTCTTAATTCTCCATGTTGTGGACTGGGTTAACCACTTCTAGGGAGAATCTGAGGAAGGGAGGGAGACTTACTGTTGGGAGGCACAGGGGTCAGCACGAGTCAAACAGGATGAGGAAGGTGCTGTGGAGGAATGAATGAACGCATGCGTGCGTTAATGTATAAGAGGACCGACTGATGTGTGTAACGTTAATGAATGAAGGTGTGCATGTATTGATGAGCAAATGAATTGACGAAGGAACTAACATACAAGCAAACTACAGCTCCAGCCAATTATTTCACTTTACTTTTGAGTAACCTGCTATTTGAATGACCCAGATTTGGATCCCTTCATTTCCACTGGTCCCCAACTTTAGCCCATCCCAAATGGAAGAGTCTGCCTATATTCCTGCCTGCCTATATTCAGGAGAATACTTGTCCGCAAGGTGTTCAAACACTCTATCGAGGTAATAGCCCTCTCTGCTGGGGATCCACTTCCTAGTATTTGATCATATGAGCTACTCCCACTCTCAGGGTCAAGCCCGATGCCATGCTAGGCCCACCAAACTGAGGGAGGTCACCTCTGACTCCCTGTCAACCACAGCCCAACTTGTCCTAAGCCTTCCTGCCTCCTCCTCTGCCAGATCATCTGGATGCTTGCCCTCACTCTCAGAAAGACATCACAGAGTCATCTGCCTCCTTAGGACTAGGCCCTAGGGACCTACTCCAGTCTCCCTCACCTCCCCTGCCCTATCCTGCCTCCCGCTGGACTCTGGAACTTGAGTGACGCAGAAGTTCTTGGAAAAGAACCAAGACCTGGAGAAGAGATGAGTCCGTCTCAAGACCGACAGTGAGCTAGTAACAAATGTATCTTGACCTTCCCTAAAATTCAAGTCATTTGGATATCTCCTTCTCAACCATCATCTCAAAAGCAGAGTTTTTCAGGGATATCTGGGTGGCTCAGTGGGTTAAATCCTCTGCCTTCGGCTCAGGTCATGATCCCAGGGTCCTGGGATCGAGCCCCGAATCGGGCTCTCTGCTCGGCAGGGAGCCTACTTCCCTCTCTCTCTACCTGCCTCTCTGCCTACTTGTGATCTCTGTCTGTCAAATAAAATCAAAACAAACAAACAAACAAACAAACATTTAAAAGCAGAGTTTTTCAGAGCAGGAATGGACCCCAAGAAGTCTTACCAATGCCCCAGAGGGAAAAGCCTACAGGCAGGTAATCAGACACTCTTTCCTTCTGAGACCTTCCCACCTGTTCTTGGGCCCCAGGATGGTGGCCAGACTTGACACCTCCTGCTGCATCTTAATCCACCCACGTCAAACCCTCCCCTTCCTTCCCACCAATGTAGAACCCTGTGCATCCCTCCAAGCTTTCTGGGCACCTTCCACCCCTGCAGGTCTCCCCTCACTTCCCTCAGCCCACAGCTGTATCTTCAAGGAGACTCTAGTCATTCCTTGTGCATATTCTGCCAGCGTGCACACTTTACAATTCCCCCCATCACAAATCTCCAAGGCTGAGGACTCCATTTCTGCACCCCTTTGTCACAGCTCAACTGAACTCAAAGCCAGAGAAGGTGAAGAAACACCTGCTGAACACCTCAGAGCAGGAGGGGCAGCTGGAAACACTGACCGGCTGATCAGCCTGGACTCCTTCCCCATACACCTAACATGCCACCCCTACGCGTGCACATAAGCATCCGAGCTGCCTTCCATGCCACGTGTATGTGATATCACGTGACTTTGGGCATCAATCACACTGCCTGCATGTGCCCCACACTGTAGCACATACAAGTTACACACACCCATTACAACACATACATTCACTTCCACTCACAGCTCTGATCTGACCCCAATCCTGGTCTGCCCCACCAGGACTGAAGCTTAGGACATCACCCAGTCATCCGGATCAGACTCCAAAGCAGCGCCACAGCAGTGAGGAGCAAGTGATCAGAGCCAGAAAGGAGAACCAGCCCTTTCCCAGGACCACTCCCTCCACTCTCTGGATTGACCCGTGGCCTTCCCCGCATAAATACCCAACACTCCACCAAACATACAAACCTGCCCCAACAAAGAAGTTCAGCTTGCCCACCTCCCAACACTTCATACTAAAGCTTTGAGCATACAGAGACCCCTGAGCCCTAAATTAAGACCCACACACTGATTTCCTAAATCCTACCAGGAGTTTTACCCACGAACTGGTGGATAAAACTAGAACATCTAAAATAAAGTGCAAGGGAAGAATAGAAAACAGAGACACAGGGAGGTGTCAGTGACTACAGAAAGCAAGGGCAATGACTGATAAAGTTAACACATGGAGATGTGTACAATCCACAGAAATTTGCCTCGTTATTCCATACATGTTTATGGAGCATCGACTCCTTGCTCATCACTGAGCAGGACCCTATAGAGTATATAGAGAGAAGCAGGAAGGCTTGACCCCCTGGCTCCCAAAGCTGGCCTGTTGTTCATCAGAATCACCCAGAGAGCTGTTTTAAAAACATTTCCTGGATCCTATCCTGGAACTTCTAAGAGAATCTCCTGAATGGGGCCTGGGAATCTGTATGTTGAGACTTCCTTGCGAGATGGAACTAGCCAGTCTACAGAGTGACATTTGGACGTGGTAGATAATTTCACAGCAGCAAAGTCCTATGCGTATTCTGATATACCGGAGATGTACTGTGAGCTCTGAGAACTTGGAGGGAGCACTATACAGAAATACAGAGGAGAATATAGATGAGACAGAAACTCAGGTCTGGAAAGAACCATGGAGTTCATTTCATTAAATGTTACAGATACAGCAACTGAGGGCCAGAAAGACGACAAAGACAGAGCTGATGACACGATAGGTAAGCAAATACCCTGTCAGTAGCTAACTAGATCTGTATAGAGGGAAGCTTGAGAAGGATGGTAGGTACACAGAAGATAAAACAGAATAGATGATAAGGAAATAATCAACAATTGGGTGAGAGCTAGTGTTAGTTAAGAGGAAGAAGAATGTAATTAATAGAAAATAGGAAATATAAATTAACCAGCTTTGGAGAGGCATTTTAAGGAGCTCAGACAGAGAAGTATGTGGCTAGATATAAAACAGCTATCTGTACAGGACGGATTGGAGAGCTCCTAGAGACAAATGTAGTTAATGTAGTTACTGACAGTAGAAATAGATGGCAGGGGACTGACGGCAGAGAGGGATGTTTGACAAATAGCCAATAGTTGGAAATGACAGGTAGGCTTGCCCAGTAAATACTGAAAGATGGATAATTAATTAGGTAGCCTAAGTCCAAATGATAAGTTACAAGAGGGACAGAAAGACAGCTATGATGGTGAAGGAGACCAGATATGGCAGAAGAAACACCAGACTAATTCAGGAAGCCCAGTCTAGGGGCTTACTGTAACACTAACCACCTTGATATATATACTACTTTACGCAGAGGGAAGGGAAGGACTGGGGATAAGAATTCATATTATTTGAATTCCTATTTTAATCCTCAAACAATCTATTTTCCAGATGAGAAAATTAGAGCTCAGAGAGGTTGAGTAACTTGCACAAGGTCACACAGTCAATTAGCAAGGAGACAGATAATAAAATCCAATCTGTCCTCCTAGGGAGCTCTGCCCACCTCATCAATCTATCTCAATCCTCACCTGAAAACAGGAGCCTTTACAGGATGGTTTCTCAGGCTCAAGCTTCCCGTAGTTCTATTGTGTTTTTTTGTTTTGTTTTTTTTTTGTCCCATATGCTAAAACCAGCTCATCTATAGATAGAACGAGATTAGACATGAGTTTTGATAGTTAAGCTGGATATACTATATTATTCTACCCAGATTTGTTTTAAATGTGTTTGAAACATAACAAAAATGAAGGAAACAATCATTACATTTACTAACTGGCATTGTGGGGAGAAAACAGGCAGCTAGATTCGGTTTGAAAGAAAGTGAATTAAAAATGCCCTCACTGAGCTAAAAAATTAAAAGTTTAAAAACAATGACATTATTTCAACAAGTGTTAATCTGTGGGTGGGAGGATTATAAACCGTTTTGTTTTCTTACACTTCTGCAATTAAAATTTAATAACTAATACTTTTTAAATGATGTTAACTATAAACACCATTCTTAAATTGACACCTTGTTTTAGACAACTTTAAAACACTGTTTGCCAGGAGGGAACGGGGGTATTATTTTATTAACTTCTTTTTTTAGCGTATATTTCTTCTAAACATTTTAAAAATTAACTTGGCTGTTTTGTAAGCTTTAGCTCTGCAGTTAGAACAGCCCAACCAGCAAATCTGAAAAAGCATGGGTCCTGCGCTAGAGGAGAAAGTAATGTGTGATTAAATGGAGCATCAGACAGATAAGACGTCTTGACAATAGAAACTAAAATAGAATGTGAGGACCAGCCAGTGATGTCTGCTGGGGGACTGGGGAGGCACTTAGGATCTGGATTCCCCACTGGGCCCCCTTCCTATTTTCACTACTCCGTGGGAGACTCCAGGCTGTCTCCCTCCCCCCAAGACACCTCCTCAGGGCACTAGGATGGAAGATAGTAGGGGCCAGACCATCAAAAATGGGGAGAGGATGATAAAAAGCCTGAGGGGCCCCTGGGCAAGCAAGCGGCCTTCTCTCATTTGCACATCTGGGAGCTTTGAGGGATGGAGGGGAGTACCATCTCCCAAGGCCCATCCAGACACTGAAATCAGCATCCAGGGAAGGAGCCAGCCCCTACAGCTATATCGGACTCCCAGGGACCAAGAGCTCAGGCGGTCCTTCCACACAGCATTTATTTAAGGCAAAGTCTTCACCTACAATAAACCCAAACCTGCCTCAATAGAACTCTAATCTAGTTCTTTAATTTTTTCTTTTCTTAATTATCAGTTACAAAAAACCTCCGTGGTTACCCTAATTTCACCCAGTTCAAAACCTCTCCAACGCCACTGGAGTTTGTTCCCTCCCCAACTCAACAGCCCTCCAAGTGTTTGAACGCAGTCCCTGAGTCCCCGAATCTACTTTTCCACCATTCCCACTTTCCTCCCATGTCTGCGCGCCCCAAACACCAGTTTCCAGAGCCCTAGCAGCCTGCCTCCGCAGAGATCAGCGCCCCCCTCCGACCCCAAGCAGGGCTGGCCCCTTCCTGGCTGTTTCCTCGGCTTCTGATGTTTATAGCCTGAGGACACGTGGGCTTTCTCCCCACACCACAGCCGCTGGTGGGCAGCCCAGGCCTCCGCCAACTCGGCCCACGAACAGCAGCAAAGCCGGTGCGGGGGGTGGGGAAGGGCCGGGCCTCCCACAAAACCGTGAGCACCCCAGAGGAGAGGCGGGAGAAGAGCCGCAGTAACCACAGGGCTGAAACGGCTCCAGGGAACACTGGGACAGCTCGGGAGTGACTGCGGCGTGGCCCTGCCTCCTCCTGAGAACCCGGCGCCTCCTGTGGGCTTTGAGAGCAGGCTGGGCTGTGGTTTGAGTCCAGAGTCCTAGTGGGTCCTTAGAGCTTGACAGAGGTCCTGCGGCCTCGGCGAAGCTAACCGCAGCGGGAGGGAATGGGCTCTAGAGATAGGTTTTGCCGGAGGGCCGCGGGGGGTAGGGGTAGCTTTTGGAACTGAGTGGGACCGAGCTCCGGGGAAGGCGGGGGCGTGAGCCCCGGGCCCCTCCTGCACCTGCCCGCCCCCACCTGCACCTGGGCCCGCGGACCGAGCGCGGGCCGGCGGGGTGGTGATTACCTGCGTCTCCGAGAGGCTGAGGCTGCCGGCCAGCTGCTTCCGCTCGGCGCCCACCACGTAGTGGTTCTTCTCGAAGGCGCGCTCCAGCCGCAGGAGCTGCGAGGGCGAAAAGGCCGTGCGGATCCGCTTGGGCTTGCGCGCGAAGGGGCCGTGCAGAAGCAGCCCGTCCTGGGGCACGTCGCTCGCTGCGGCCGCGCCGCCGACGGCAACACAGCAGGTACAGACAGAGAGAAGGGGCGCCGTGAGCCGCAGCCCGGCCGCCGGGCCGCCCTCGGAAGCCGGCCGAGCCCGGCCCTCTGGCCCCGCTCGCAAACGCCCTTGGCGCTCCGTTGCCCTCTCCAATCCTTGGCTCCCGCCCCCACTTTTCCCCTTTCCCTTGTGCCGCCCCATTCCTTAAGTCCACTCCTCGCTCCTCCCCCATACTTCCTGAGGGTTCGAGAAGCTACCCCGTCGGTCGACCGAGGCCTGGAGGAGCAGAGCAGCGGATCACTAGATGGGCCAGGAGGAGGGCCCAGGCCTAGCGAGGCGCCTGGAGCAGCGGAAGAGGCCAGGGTTGGAAAAATCCCTTAGTTCTCTTTGTCCCCTGGCCCTGCTACACGAGGAGGGACAGGGCTGAGAGTCACGAAGGTGATATGGGGAACAGTGAGGCCGCTCACCATCCTCATGCCAAACACATTTTCAGGAACTAGAAGGGACCCAAGGCACTCTCTTTTCACACCTGTTTAAACCACACTTGCAGCTAAATGCTCAGGCCACTAGCCCTCTGAAAATTCCTGCCAACAGGCCCAGGCTCTACCTTGCAAGTGGTAAAAATAGGCCAGTGGGTAGGTCAATGTCCAGGCAACACCCCAGGCCTTCAGGTAAAGCTCACTGCCCCGGGGAGACTCCTAATGCTCTCCAGTGGGAAAAGGCCTTGCTTCGTCCCTGAATAGTCCCATGCTGAAGAAACACGTGTATAAATATCTAGATGTCATCTTTCTCTCTAATATATATAGATATAGATATATTGGTTTCTGCATGGGCGTGTGTAAATATATGCTCCAGCCTCCCTACTGTCTTTTTCTCCCATCTACCATACAGGATTTTCAAAGAGTGTAATTGTCCCTTGGCAAGTGTTGGCCATCATGGGAACTCAGCTCCTACAAGCAGGAGGAGGGGCTGAACCTGGGTGGGATAAGGCCCCCGGGGTGGGGGTGGTGAGGTCAGGAAGTACAAAAGCCAAAATGAGCCTCCAGCTACCGCCCCACGTTCAGTAAACCCCCCCACCATGTCTTCGTGCAATCTCTGGCTTGGTTGCACATGCTCTCAGACTTGAAACAGGCCCTAACATCACCCATGGGTTCTCATGCAGGGTCAAATATCAGTACCGTTGAGCCACTGACAATGAAGAGACCGAGATGGAATGTTTTCACACGGTTAGCCATTGAGATTGACCGAGCCAGTGAATTTCTCCAGCAATGGCCCACTGGTTTTACCCAGTTTGACCTGTTGTTTTGTTTAAGGCAATTGTTTGGATCTCAGCTGAGATTTTCCATTTCTGGAAATACCTATGTAAGGGAAGTAAGGGCACATCATGGACATACTATTGCTAAAACTCTCCAGGTAACTGTTCATGTCCCTCTGCTGGTGGAAACTGACTGGCGTTACTTTCTCCAACTCCTTGGGCTTTGGAGGCTTACACAGGTGACTTTTATTGCTGGGTATTGTCCCCCCGCCTCCCATTCTAGAACAAGGTTGCCAAAGGGGAAATGAAGTCCCCTGACAATCACATTCCCGTTTCAAGTGGCTGGATCTGTGCAGCTACAAGAGGGAGTGGCATCACACCTTGGGGAGATGGAAGGGGATGCTCTGCCCAGTGGGCCCTTCAAGGTGGAGGCAGGTCCAGGGCTGTTAGGCCTGAATGAAGGAAGTTTGACTGGTGGTGATGGAGGGGACAGATGATCAAGGGAAGTGGTCTAGCAGAGAGGAGTAAGAAGGAATGAAAGGAGGAGCCTGATCCAAGTAGGAATAAGAATTAAAGTCTTAAGTGGGTACCAGTGTGATAGGCCAGAGAAAGGTGGAAGAGGTGGGTGGGAAGCAAACCCTTCTTGCTGATGTTAAACTGCTTCAGCACACGGTGTGGTTCTGAGCCTGGGTGGAGTCCCAACAGTAGTTTTGCCTCTGGACAAATAAGCTGGGCAGGGAGAAGGCCTCGCTCATCCCAGAGTTCCAGTGTTGACCTCAGCAGCTCAATTGGCCCAGGCTTGTCAAAAGTGAGGTGGCAGCCTGGAGAGAGCCTGTAGATGGGAGTGAATGGGGTGCAGGGGTGTCAGGGACAATCTGTGGCTGGGAGAGCAGGACTGCCGTCTGCCTCGGTGTGTATGGTTTGATGGCTATTTTGTAATTCTGGGGTATGTGTTAGTCCCTTGCATGGTGGACTTCTCTGTGTTTGTCTTCATAAACCCAAAGTGGAGGATGGAAGCAACAAGCTTACTCTGTCCTTGTGACATACACACATCCCTTTGCCTCAAGTCTGGCTATTTTAAGAAAAGCTAGGCTTGGTTTACTGTCATGCCCTGTTGGGGCAGATAGACTGTGTCCTTCAGGCTATGTCCACATGTACCCGCAGAAACATAGGGGTCCATCTGACCCAGCCACGAAGAAGCAAGGGGCAGGAAAATGACTCCGTATACTGAAAGGTGATGACAGACTGGATTTCAAAAGAAGCAAGGTTTTTTTCCTGTAAGAGAGAGGGGGTTTAGTGCAAAACTAACTATCCGGACAAACTGATCGAATAGCTCCATGTTTCTGTAAGAATAGAGTGATGCTTTAGGCGCCTAAGTTCCTGGGCCCCTCTCGTTAGGGGTAGGGGGCCTCAACAGTCCCTACCACAGCTTCAGTTTCCCTTAACTGGACCACAAGAGCAGAACAAGCTTGGGGCTGGGGCCAGTGTGGCCCGTTTCCCTGCAGTAGTTCTCACCTCTGGCAGTGGGCTGTCAGTTTCAGACAAGGAGAGGTGGAAAAGTGGAAGGATGACGACTTCAGCTTCCCTGGAGCCAGGAGGAACTGAACCCCACCCCATTTTTCTCCAGCCTCTCAATGCAGGGAAGGCAGGGACTGGCAGGAGAGACTCCCAGGACTGAGGTGGCCGGTCGTGGGAACTAAAGGATCCGAAGTGCTGGTGCTGGCCGCTGAACTCTCTTCTGGAGAGGCCGCGGCCGGCCAGGAGCTCTGAGCTGGCCGGCTGGGCGGAGGAGCCTGGGGCGACGAGTGGGAGAGGCCGGCCAAGCTGCGGAGATAACCTCATTCCCCCACCTCCTGCCGGAACAAAGGCGCCCTTTGAAGCACCGGCCCATTACAGACGCGGATCCCTGAGGGTTGGGGCTTCCCAGGCCCCCTCCAGACGCCGTTCCCGGCCTGGAAAGTTCCTGCGTCCGGGAAATGGCACCGAAGTGCGGCCAATTCCGGGTTTCCGCCGGCTCCTCCCCTTCAGGCCTCGAAGGCTACGGGTTTCAGGATCCCGCCGCCTGATCCAGACCATACCCCGTGGGTTCTTCCTCTTCCACCGCCTCGCTCCGCCGAGAAGCCGCTTCCCCGAGCGCTGACCCGCGCTGCGCACGGAGCGCAGACATGTTCCTTTTCGTTCGTGTAGGGTTTCGTTTCTTGCATTAAAACGGGGCTGAAATGAGCATCGCAGAGACCCGGTTCTCTAGAAAACGCGGCGCCGGAGGGCCTGGGACGGCTCGGCCCGCAGCCCCGAGGCCCAGCTGGGACCGCCAGGCTCACAGCTGCCGGGCTGCGCATCGGGCCGCGGCGACGAAGACCCGACCCAAAGCCGAAACGTCTCAGGGTCGGCAAAGTCCTTCCGTGTCCAACGGATTTCCGAGTTCAAAAATGCGGCTGCACATGGCTCCATCTCCGCGTCCAGAAACGGTTCTTAAGAGAAAATTTCAACCGTTTTTGCAACTCGACAACGTGCCCGCCGGCACTGATGGCTCAGGGAGCCGCGATAATTTCTGAGAAGGTTTTTCGGAGAATTCATGTGGGCTCGATTGGCTGGGAATGCTCAGAGCCGGAGCTGGATCTGTCGCGAGCTGTCCCCGGCCCTCGGCGCCCCGTGCCCACGGGGACGAGGCCAGAGGCGGGAAAAGCATCTAGGAGGGCGTGGGGCGCCAGGTCCGAAGCCAAGGGCTCGGCGGGGGAGGCCTTCCCCGGATGATCAGAGACCCCAGGGCTTAGGACCGGCTCTGCCCTCTCCTTAGAGCCCCTGTCCTTGCACCAGCCTCCTAACCACGGGTCCTTCTACTGCCCCGGCCCGACGGTTCAAAAATAGCCGCGACTCTCAGATCGGCCCACGGGTGCCAGGTTTTGAGACCCAGGCTGGTCTGGGCCCAAGGAGCACCGAGATGGTTTACTCAGTTCTGAATAAAACTTCAATCATTTTATAGCAATAAACAATCATTGTAATTGACAGGTTTCATGCCCAAAACGGCTGACACCATAGGCTCCCTCCCCCACCGCATGATTTAGGCAAATCTTTGAAATCTGAGGGGAAACAAGTCTGCCCACAAAAATTCTTGTTCAAGTAATTACAGCCTTTTATATTGTTGGGATCTGCTGGGTCAGTATCTACTTGTCAGATGGGACTAAGCAAATTGACAAATTGGACCAGGAAAGCAGCTTCCCATGAAACAGTTCAGCAGCTATAGCCAAAGCTTCAAAAAAGATCATTTTTCTTCTGTTATCTAGATAATGGTACCAAGCATCTGGTTTACTTTGACTTTGTAGACCGCGGTTTATCCTCAGATTAGGTTGGCAGCTGAAGCTCTAGCCATATCCTTTTCATTGGTTTCACTAAAAGCCGGGTTACCTAGCTCTGAGTTATGGAACCTCAAAAGGCTGAGGTCCAGTCCCGTCTACACTAACAAAATAAAACTGGAAACTAAGCAATTACTGTACAAATTAGGTCATTCTTTTTAAAAAGAAAAAAAAAAGGCAAGAAAAGAGAAACAAACTTTAACAAATTCCAGGAAGAAAACGAACTCCAACAAATGCAACTCTTTCCTTCGGGAAAGTCAGATAATGGAAACGTGTGTGTGTGTGCGCGCGCGTGTGCGCGCGCGTTTGTAAGGCTAGTGGGGGATCTTCATTAGCAAACCCGTTGCCCAGTGAAGACGTGGGAGCTCGGCTAGCCTGCGACCTTAAAAGCCCCCGCCCCCCTACTTGGGAGGACTGCCGTGGGTCCCGCAGCCGCCGGGTGGACTCCCAGAGTCGGCGCATGGCGAAGGAAGCCGGTTGCTATTGCAACCCTTCCCGACCCTGGGTCCGAGAGGCACTTGTGACTCGACAAAGTCGGGTCGAGGTTGTTGAGAAACACCCCGAGACGGTGGAGAACTCCTCACGGAACATTAACTCTCCAGTGTCCCCTCCCCGCTGCCCCTTCTCTCCGCAGACCCGGGACACGCGCGTGGACTTTGCCCCGCTGGGACGCGCCAGCGAGGGCGGATATCTGGGAATTGGTGGTGGATGTGAGAGGGAAGTAGGGTCCCAGGTCCAGCCCGCGCGGAGGGAGGGGGCGGCGGGAGCTGCGGTCGCTGCGGTCGCTGCGCTCTCTGGACTGGGACTGGCTCAGCAACGACAGATTCTGGCAGGCCGCGGGGAGGATCAGGAGAAGCTCCAGGGATGCGCCCGGGTTTGGCGTCCGAACCCGCACCGTTTTCTGGGCAAGCCTGGAGGTCCCAACCTGGCTCTCTGGGAGGGAACCCAACGCCGCCGAAGCGCGAACGGATCCGGCGCGGCTCTTCCCGGTTTGGGAATCGGCCTCTGCGGACCCCACAGCCTTGTTTCAACAACTTCTGAACAGCCCCGCACGCCCCCGAGCCTCCCCCGCGCCACCGCAGGGCCGGCGCTGGCCGGCCTCCTAAGCGGGCACAGCATGGGCACTCACCCTGGAAGCGGTGGCCGAAGAAGCGGTTCCGCAGGACCCAGGGGTAGAAGTGCAGAGGGTCCCGGTGCTGGGCGCCGAAGAAGGAGTGCGGGGGCTGCAGCGGGGAGGCGCCCAGCTGGTGCGCCGGGTGCACCGTCAGCGCGGGGTGGTTCATGGCCTCGGGGAACACGAGCTCGGGCCCACCATAAAGCGAGCGACCGGCGCCCGCGGCGGCGGCGGCGGCGGCGGCAGCGGGGAAGCCGCTCACGAAGGCCGCCTCGGCCGCGCCGGGGTGAGGGTAATTGAGCGCCGTGGGCCGGAGTGGCTCCTCCGAGGCGGCCGCCGCCAGGGGATGGGATCCGGCGCCCCCGCCGCCAGTGCCCCCGCCGGTGCCGCCGTCCTTGGCTACCAAGGACTCGATGGTAAAGCCGCGCTTGGCTGTGGGCTGGAACATGGTCGCGGTCGCCAGAGCCGAGCGAGGCAGCCGGGCTCTGGGGAGCGCTCCGCGTCCTGGCGCCGCCGCCGTGCGGGGTGTGCACCCAGCCAGGCACATGCACACACACCAGCACCCCTCACCTCCCCCGCCCGCCCGCCCTCGCTCAGACCCTGCCGGCGAGCCAGGCGCGGAGAGGCGAGGGGCGTGAGAGCGAGCGAACGCTGAGTCGGGCCACGGCGCGCACCTAGGCGCGCCGGCCTCTGGGGCCGAGCGGGCAGCTCCCGGCGCGGGCACTGGCGCGCGTTCCGTGCGATGTTGCGAGCTGCCTCTACGGCCTGGGGGCTGAGCCCGGCCCCCTCCCTCCCGAGTCCAGCCAGGACAGACCCCCGTCCCTGGTCCTCCCAGCACTGCCCAGCTCAGCTTCGGCCGCTGTACTGCGAGGCGCGAGTTAGCCGGCACCTGCCCCGCGCTCGCCCATTGGCCGCCGCTCACCTGCCCCAAGGTGGGGGGCGGGGCGGGGCGGGGCGAGGGACGGCGGGTGGGGAAGGAGCCAGCAGTCGGAGGCAAAAAGCGGACTGGAGCCTCTGCCGGGCTGTCTAGGCCTCCCCCCAGCCCCCATCCGCCCCTCGCCACGGGCTTCTCTTCGCGTCTCTGCCCTTTTAGCTGAGTCTGGCGATCGTCCCAACTGTCTCAGCCCACGCGGGAGCCCAAGAAGACGTCCGAGGGGCCTGGGGCTTCGGAGAAACTCCAACCCCACTTCCCGATGTGTAACTCAGTTGAACCCTCTCCAATTCATCCTGGGATGTCGTTTCAGTTCTCAGGCAACTTGGATCCGAGCGGAGGGAGGGAGGGTGTTTTTTTGCCCGATAAATACATTCTCTGATAACCAGGTCACTGTTCCCCGGGTCTCGGGGACCCTCCCGTTCACCCACCGTCTCTCTCCTGGGCCGCGTTCTGAAAGCCGAGGCCTTGCTCGTGAGGTTTCGCGTTTTCTGAGGGTTGCGAGGGACAGCTCCAGAAAGGGGGACGCCCAATTCTTTTCACAAGAGGCCAGGCTGGGGACAGCGCGAGAGGAGCTGCCGGAGTGGTCACTTTGCAGACCCCAAGCCGCAAATCCGGGTTCGGAAGCACCTCCTTCGCCCAACCACGGCGGCCGCGCTCTGCTCGCACCGGGACGGCGGGCCTCAGCACAGGGCGATCTGCTGCTTTCCTCGCTTTCTCTGGTCGTGGGGCTCAGGTGCAGGCGGGCCGGGTCAGGCCCGAGCCTCGGGCCTTAACCTGGAGCTGGCCGAGTAAGTCGACCCTGTCTCCAAGAATACACATCAGCCATCCCCGGAACGCAGCGGCTTCCTGGCCTCCCCTGACCCTCATCTTCCACCTGCGACCGCGGAGCCGCGGACGACTCTGCTCCGTCAGGTTTCCATTTCTTGAAATAATTTCCTGGGGGTGAGTGGGAGAGGAGAACCAGTACTCTGCAAACTTTTTCACCCGGGCCTTCCAGGCCGCAGGAAACACCTCCCCGAGGCCTAGGAGGGCGCCGGGCAGTGGTGGGGAGGCTGCGACCCGGACCCTGCCAACGCACTGCGAGGAGGGGACAGCAGCACGCTCAGCTTCCTCGCCGCCGCCGGGGTCAGTGAGGGCGGCGCGGCCGCGGCCGGGTGCGCAGACCTGGGTAGGGCCTGCCGGTGTCCCAGGCCAGGGGTTCCGCGTGCCGCGTGACTCTGCAGGGACTCCAGGCCGGGTCTTGGGAGTGGCCCGCCTGAGCGCCGGGAGCCTTGGTCCGCGAGAGTGCTTCAGGCGCCCTTGTAGCCACAAAGCGGGTTAAAGTCTATTTTCCACTCGACTGCTCCGAAAAGCCCCCGCGCGCCGACGCCGTTCCGGACCCCTTGGGCGAGGTGGGGAGGGGGCTAAGAGGGGGGGCGGCGAGGCGACCGCACCCTGCAGCCCTTCGCGTCCGGGGCAGCCCGGAGTCGGGCGCTGCGGAGCCGCGGCAGAAACGCCTGCGGAAGGAATCGGTACCGAATCCGCGGCGAGCGCCTGTGCCCTCTTTGCGACCTCTCCGGCTCTTTTTGGCTCTCTTTACCGGTCTCTCTCCACCGGTCTCTCTCTCCAGTTTCCGTCTCAGCCTGTCTATCCTCCTCCCTGTCTCTCTGCTCCACCCTCCACCCCGACTTTTCATTTATTTCTTCCTCCTTCTCCTTTGCTCCAGCCTCAGTCCTGGAAAGGGGAAGCTCCGAGTGGAGACCTAAGCAGGCCACAGCACGAAGGGGGCGAGGGTGCGGAGCTGGGCAAAGGCACAGCTCGAGTTTTTCCGCTTTATATAGAGAGAGATAACTGGGTATTTTGTTGGAGCAAGATCCCCGCGGGGACGCGAGTTCAGTTGGATAAGCATTGCCTGGGCCTGTGCTCTGCGGCGAAAGGGGGCTGCCACGGAGAAGACAGGAGCCCGAGCAAGTTTAAGCCTCCTCGGAGCCTTGCGCCCCAGCCGGAGATAAACCCCATCGGTCCAGCCGCAGGCCCTCACCTCCTACCCCACTGAGAGGCTGGATGGTGGCCGCGAACTCGCTAAACTGGGCAGGTAGAAGAGCTTGCAATCTACCGGGCCTTTCCTAGACTTGCATCTACACCGGCCACATCTGTTTTCATCTCTATGGTTCTGGGGATACATATTCCTGTTAACTTGATAGATCTTTATAATAGCACCTTCCCTTGTGGTGGTGCTTGTGAAATACTTTGACATCTACCCGTCTAGTTACTAACCCCATTTTACACGTGGAGAAAGAGAGTCCGGGGGACCGGTGACTTGAGTCTGGTCGCAGTCTGGATTGAGTGGGGACAGCTCAGTGATCCTGGTCTGGCTCGGGTTCCACCCTCATTCCATCCGCACCCCTGCAGCTGCCTCTGACTCCCTAGGCAGGTGGCCACAGGGTTAGGGTGCTGGGTGCACTGGGTGCAGTTCTACCTTCATCCTCCCTCCCCTTTCTCTTTCCCCAGCCACTTTTCTCGGGCATTCCTCTCCCTTAACCCCCTAACCTCCCTCCATCCTTTTCCTCCCTCTGCAGACATTTACCCCTTACCAGGATTCCTCTATTTCCGCTCCTCTTAGGGCCTCTTCCTCTATTGTCGCTTTTTCTGCAGTAGGTTAAGAGAAGAACTTGTCACCTTCAGGGGGTCTCTAAGCCTGCTGCTGTGTTCTTGCCCCCTTGGCCCCCTGGCCCCCATCTCTTCCTGTGCCTTCTCACTTGCCCAGTCTCTGCCTCTGATGCCCCCCAGCTGACCCGGTACATAAATGCCTCCTCTTCTCACCAGAGGACCACAGCCCACCTTAAACCAAACCTGCTGCCCCTTCTCCCACATCTGTTCCCCAACCCTGCCTTTCCACCTATGGGTCCTCCCTCCCAAGTTGCTGCCCAAAGACTGATTGTGCCTGGCTTCTCCAGGCTGGAGGGCCCTCCCACCCCACACAGCTGATTCCCTTTCATTCCAAGCTTGCCTGCACCTCACCCCCCCCCGCCCCCCTGGACCACCCATCCCAGCTCTGGACCCTCGTCATTTTTCTCCTCCTTCCCTCCATCTCTGGAATAACCTGGGCTCAAGTCATGACTCCTCCACTTACCAATATGAGACATGGGGCCAATAGTCTTGCCTCAGCTTGCACATCTGCGGAAGGGGGAGCATGATCCTCGTCCTCTGTGAGGATGAGTGAGATTAGTATGCCCTGCACAGGACCAATGTGTGACTCCAGGGAGGCGCTCAGTAAACGTTACTGTCTCTGCCTTTGCCCATGCTGGAAACTTGGGAACCGTCCTCAGATCCTCACTCTCTCATCTCCCTTATCCATCCTTGACTCCCGTTCTGGGTCTCTGAGTCAAGTACTTCTCAAGCCTAACTCGCCTACCTTTATGCCCCTTTGCTGGCTAACTTCATTCTTCACCACTCAGTTCACCTCCCCGTCCCCCAGGGAAGACCCGCCCCCACTCTGACCCAGCATCCACCTGCAGAATGGAGTCACCAGTGTCTGCCCCCTGACTCCCAGGCTATGACCCCTCCACCTCCACCCCCAGCTGGGGAGCGCTGGCATCCATCACAACCACCAGCTCGGCCGGCAAAGTTTATCCAACAGAGCCCTGGTTCTCCTCCTCAGAGTCCTGGATCTAAAGACATCCCTGGCCATTTCTTTTACCTCTCATCCCCCTCCCTCCTCTTTAGCCTACTTCACCTACAGGTCTCTCTGCCCCACAAAAAGCCTTCTGTCCTCCTGTTTCTGCTAACTGCTTTTCACCATCTAACTTTGTAAGTTTTAATCTCTCTGACTCCCTCAGTTCTCCTTGACTCAATAAGGCTTTGCAACCTGGCTTCCACCGCCATCCCACTGGGGAGATGTTCACAGAAAAAACTCCAAAACTTTGACCGTGGTGTTATTACAATAGCAACACATGCTTATGGAGGCAATAATAATCATAACAACCTTAAGAAATTATTGTGAGATTGAATGAGTTATACTCCCCATCTAACGGGCTTACAGCAGTGCCTAGCACCTAGTAAGCACTCGATAAATGTTAGCTATTAATTTTATACAGCTTTGCTGTCCAACACGGAAGCCATTTGGCCACTGAGTGCTTAAAATGTGGATGGCCCAAATTGAAATATTCTGTAAATGTAAAATACATACCAGATTTGGAAGGCTGAGTGTTTTGAAAAATCTAAGATATCATTAATACTTTCTTGTGTTGGTTACATGTTATAATGATAACATTGATATATTGGGGTTAAACACATATTATTAAGGTTATTTTTATCTGTTTCTTTTTATTTTTAAAATGTGGTTGCAAGAATGTTTAAAATTATATATGTGGCTCACATTATTTTTCTATTGGACAGGGTTGTTATAGAAGACACAGGTAATCCAAAGGAGGGAGGGAGGGTAAATGTGCAAAAGGAAAAACAGAACTCATAATTATCATATCCTACCACCAAGAAACAACTATCATAAGGTTCTTACCTTATGATATTCTTCCAGTTCTTTCTCTCTCTATTGCTTTTCTTTAAAAGGGGTGGGGTGGGGTGGGAGAAACATACAGTTTTTGTAACCTGCTTCTTTATCTTTATTACTAACCACAATCCTCTTTGTATGCATTAAATATTCTCTATGATTGAACATTTGTGCTGTTGACAAATTTGCGCTATTTTATTTATAAAGATTTTTATTTATTTATTTGAGGGAGAGAGCATGAGCAGGGCAAGGGGAAGGGGCAGAGGGAGAAGTAGACTCTGCTCATCAGGGAGCCTGACACAATGGATCCCAGGACCCCAGGATCACAACCTGCCTTGAGCCCAAGGCAGATGCTTAACCAACTGAGATACCCAGGTGCCCCTTGACTTTCTTTCTTTCTTTTTAAAGATATATATATATATATATATACACACACACACACATATATATTTTATATATTTATTTCACAGAGATCACAAGTAGGCAGAGAGAGAGGGGGAAGCAGACTTCCCACTGAGCAGAGAGCCCAATGCGGGACTCGATCCCAGGACCCCGAGATCATGACCTGAGTGGAAGGCAGAGGCCTAACTGACTGAGCCACTCGGGTGCCCCACCCCTTGACTATTTTAAACAAAATTTTGACCCATAGCTCCATCTTACCACGTCTTCAAGAGTATTGCTCTTCTATATACATTTCTAGAGGTATAATTTCAGGAAGTATAATTTCCAGATGTGTAGTATTTAACTCTTCTGACCCTTATTGTCGATTTGATCTCGAAAATATACCCATGTATTCCCCCGTGAGCAGAGTTTAAGGGGTTCCCTTCATTCTCTGAAATGCTCATCCGGACTCTATTTCCAAATTCCTGTCTTTTTTAGTCATAATTTTCTGTGGGCTTTTCAGCATTTGACTTCAACTCCCCTTTCTTTTGGAAACTCTCTCTTCCCTTTATTTTCCTAACACGGTATCTACCTGGTCCTGCACCTCTGAGAATTCTTCCTCCATGGGCTCCCCTTTCTTCCCCTGACTGTGGGTGTCTACTAGGCACCTTTGTCTACTCTATCCTTCTTATCTGTCTGTCTGTCTACCTATCTATCTAATCATCCATTATCTGTCTTTACTTCCACAATTTCAAGCAATGTCTACATGCAAACTCTTAGAGGTCTGTAAACCCAACTCTATTTTTCCCCTGATCAAGTCGCTAGTTTTCAGTGCTTGTGAGATAATCTTCCTGGGGTGTCCCACAGGCTCCTTAGGCACTCAATATACCCCAAAACTGAGCCTCACCTCTTCCCCACCAAATCTGTGCCTCTCCCTGTCTCAGCCTCTCCTGATGACAGACCCACAGACGTGGGACATCTAGTCTCAGC